CCATTTTAAAACAACAAGTGATAGCTACAGCCTTAAGATCTTGAGAAATTTCGGTCCTTATCTACTTTTCATCCACTAACTTATCTGTTAAAGTTAAATGTTCGTACTGTGGAAATTTGAAATCTGAAACTTATTGAAATCCTTATTTTTTAATGTTTCGAAATCTCAGTAAACGGTTTTTTCTAGAGAATTATTGAGCCGAACCTTAAAATTATTTGCTTGAATGGTTCAATAAATTTTATTTTCAGGTCATTGTTACGCTGACGCACATTGTCCACCTGGTTTCAAATGTGGTTTTTATAAGAAGTGTTATAATATGACTGATAAAAAATATATAGTGGAATCTATCATGCATATCCGTATTTTTTTTGATTTTAAACTAAATTTTTCTGTTTAATTAGTAATTATGTTAGTGACACATTTTTACAAGTCTAAAAAACACTCCATTCAAAAAATAGAAGAAGGTATAAACTATCGGCAACCCAACTACAATCTAACTAGTGCAATGCATAATTTGCTCAATTTCACTGGCTTATAAGCTGTATCTAGCTAAATGAGCTTACTATAATGTTTCAGCATGCCAAGATGAAGCACCAGGGTTTTGCGCAGAAATAACAGGTTTTGAAAAGGCTATATGTCGTGAAATCATTTTCGAGTACGAGCATGTCCATTCATACGTATGCCAACTTCCACCGCCTTTTACATGGACTGAATTAAAAAGTATGTTATACAGCATTAAAGTTGTTTTTAAGAAACGGATTTTATCTTCACTTGCACATATTACGTTGGCATTGAATGGATCACGAGTTGTCAACTTTTTACAGGCAGATATTTGAAAAAAAAAAAACTTTCTAAAAAGTAAAAAAAAATTTTATTCCCATAGAGCTATACGAGAACGTAGTAGCATGCCTCATAAGTTTCTCTTTGGGAGAAATCCATTGCACGTAAATGAAAGAGCGGAGCTTTAGGCGCAAATGGTCGATAATGGATGAAAAAGAATTATTCTTGTTGAATTTATGATCGAGAAACTTAAATTGATATCTGAGAATAAATTGTGCTAATCATTATACGTAAATTGATTGCAGCCTGTGGTGCAGACGACAGTTGCGCTCGTTATAGCACGTGCATAAGAGGGACTTGTTTTCATCCATTTTGGGTTACTGTCAGACAACGTAAGTTTATAGTCTGATGAATGGTTTTTTGTTCATGTTTCCCCAGGAAAGATATGTAAAAGATAACAAATATTTCTTTCAGGTTGCAAAAGCGACGCTGAATGCACTTTTCGTTCATATTGTAACAAAGATGGTGGATGTGAGCAGGGAAGATGGTCATTGAAACACAGAAGTTGGTTTTTGTTGCTAGACAAGTGTTGCCATTTTGCAGAGCTTTTTAAATTGATTATGGATTCTCGAAATTCAGTGATGATTTTAGACGAGATATTCACCTATTGCTTTCATAACTTGGACATGCTTTAACATCAGTAAACATGTATCGCATACCTGCTTGAAGTCTTAAGGCGATACATTGTCTACTTTAATTTTTTGATCATTCTCGAAGTTTCACATATGTACTTTATTCAATGTTTAAAATTTTTCTGTGTTAGGACTAAGCAAAGTTTCGAGGCTATTGGTTCAGAATTAAATGAAAGAGCTTATTTTTATATGCTTCTTATAAGCCC